TCACATGCCGTGGCGGTTTCTTCGCGAACGTACGTCAAAAAGTGCACTGTGGAATCCTCGCGCGTCTTCCAACCTTGCACGCGGGACGGCGGAGCGCTCGATCTCACGGAGCAGCCATCGCGCATCTCCCACCGCGCGCCTGTGGCCCCCGCGCGCAGACAGCAAGCGTTATAATGCCCGCCATGAAATCCTTCTCCGTGGTGAAACACGCAGCTCACAAGCTTGAACTTCTGACCGCTGACGACCAAGGACTCGCAAGGACGAAGCATGTGTCGAATCTTCTTAACTCTCCTCGTCACGGCGTCGTACGTTTGCGCGAGCAGCTGCACCCATAAACACGGAGGAGTCTTTGTAATACACCAGTATTTCGTGGCCTCTGCGCAGCCGCACTCCTTCGGGCACTCCCACCTGAATTCCGACACCATGTGATCACCCCTCGAACTCTCGCCGACGACGTCTTGAACTGTTAGGATGTCTTTGCAGCGGCTCTTCGGGAGATGCAGTTTCAAACACGTGAGCTCGGTGTCCCCCCTGACTTTCCGGGCGCCGCCGCAGCCGGGCCGCGCGCGCACGAGTCGCTCCACGTTCTCCATGCGGAACACTTGACACACGTCGCGCGCGTTTCACCTGCAAAAGCTCTTGCAAGAATTCATCTGCGCCCTCCTGGCATCGGTTGTAGAATACGCGCGGGGTGGCTTCCAACTTTATAGGCCGCGTCGAACTACCGAGTTCCATTTCTACCAAGGTCTGAGCCAGCAGACCGTCAAAATCCGGCTCCCCCCCCGCTCGTTGCGCCGCGTTCCCTCTCTCTGCGAAAGACCGCCCGCCCCATTCGGCCGGGCTTCTCTGCCGCGCGACGCGCGCCGCGGCTCGCACGCTGGGGATCGCGAAGAGCGCTTGCGCAGAGGCATTCATGAAACAATAGTACCGTGGGTTCTGAGGGCCCGGCAGCGCCAGACACTCTCCGCCCTCGCGCGCGCTGCGCGCGAAATCGCCACCACGCTGCTCGTTCGCCGATCCGACAGAGGGCCCTGCGAGCACACTATTGTTCTTGCCCTCGGCCACGCGAGCGCCTGCAGCGGACCGCATCCACGGGGCGGACCTCTCAAGCAAAGCCACGCCGCGCAGCGCGCTCCACCCTCGGGCAACGCGAATGACGTGCCCTGACATGCACCAGACAACCGCTCCCACGCAGACTTCAACGGCGTCTCCCAGCGCCCACCTCTCGCTTTGCGCCACCTGCATGAAGTCAATTGCGTCTTCCGTCGCGTGCACCCACACGAACGTTTTCCGTCGTCTCAACCAAGTTTCCACAGCCACCACGTTCTGCCTCGACTCTGGACCGTCGCCAGTTTCACCCGAGAACGCATCATTCGCGCACTCCCGCTCGAAACATCGCAGGGCGTCTCTGCGCCACCGCCCGCGCCGAATCTTCGCTACTGCAACTTGAAGGCACTTGTTCGACCATGCCCCCAAGGCACCCCCGTCGCATGCCAGAACGGCTACCGCGATCGGCGCAACGCTGGGCACGTAAGCCGACTGCGCACTTGCAACGAGTAGCGCGCCTTGGCGCACTGCGCGCTCCTCCGCATAAGCAACAGACGCAACATTATCTGCAACCGTCGCGCGGCCTCCGCTCAACGCGTCGGCTCCGCCTCGCCCCCGACGCGACTTTCGATTGACGCCGACCCCTGGCGAATGGCGCGCAGAAGCAACGCGCGCGCCCTGCGCGACGCGCCTTCCCCAAGTCTCGCAGACGACGCATGCCCGCGCATTCGACGCCAACCTGCGCCCTCGAGCGCGGCGCCAATGATCGAGCCGCGACAGCGGTTGCGAAAGAAGGCGGCGCAGGCGGCATTCGACGGTGTAACTTCGACGACGCTCTCCGACCGCAGACATGTCCCTGGCGGCACGTGCCGCGCGGAAAATCCCGACTGAACATCCGCGAAAGGTTCCGCCTTCCATCGTGCAACAGACTCTCTTGGGAAACCAATTGCGATAGTTTCTCCCGCTGGAACCGCGACCCCACATGCGCCCGACGCCGGCGAATCCCGGTTGTCTCGCCCGCGTCTCGCAAGCGACGCGCGCCCATCGTCTGCAAGCCTCGCTGCACCCTTGATTCCGTTTCACAACGCACTCGGGAGACTGTCCACGTTCTATCATTGTGGGACCGAGCCTGGGGGACAATTTGCGAAAGTTTTGTCCTTTTGTCCTCCAAAGGAGGCGCGTGCATACAAATCCGCGTTAGTTTCCCTCTTCTATCGTGCATGGGAAAGGTTGTGTGAGAAAGCCGCGAGAATGTCGCCCTTCTCTCGAGCGCAGGGCGCCCCGCGAGAAAAATTCGCGATAGCTTCCCCTTTTCATCGGTCAGAACTCGCACCTGTGAGGCAAATCGCGACAGCCTGTCCTTTTTGTCGTTCGGGGAGCGCGCTCGGGCGAAACATCGCGGTCGTTCGCCCCTTCTATCGTTCAGAGAGCGCGCCCTGGAGAGGAATCGCGATGGTCCCCACATTCTATTGTCTGGAGGACGCGCTCGTGGACTGGTTCTCGAGGGCGTCCCTCTTCTATCTTCCAGCGGGCGAGCCGGGAAACAACTGTTCGATAGTTCCCCCCCTCTATCATCCGGGCCGTCCACGGGGCGCGCTTTTGTCAAAAATCGCGACAGTATCCCCCTTCTACCGTTCGGAAAACGAGAATGCAATTCTCCAGAAAACGGCGCCCCGTCACATATCATTCGTGGATGTTTGCAGTGACGCAGGGAAGACCCGGGGGACTCCGCCACGACGCACCCCTCCCGGGGGACCGGCTTCGTGGACGCCGGCGCTCCGGCGCTGGCACAGGACCCGCGAGAGGCCCCATGCCAACGCACCCCTTTCGGGGGACCGGCTTATGGGCGCCGGCGCTCCCTTCGAGATTCTGGCTCTCGGAAAGCCCTTCGGGGTTGTGGCCCCCGGATGGCCCTTTGGGATTATGGCTCCCAGGCGGCCCTTTGGGATTATGGCTCCCAGACGGCCTTTTGTTCACGCGAAGCGCCATCCCCAGCTTTCGGGAGGCGCCGTTCGAGCCCACCCCACCGAAGGGCTTGAGCTTCGTCGCGCGCAACCCCCTTTCTGCCAGGGATGGGCCTCCTTGCCCAGCCCCCGCCCCGCCGGCCCTTCGGGAAGGCCGCGCGGAGAGGGGCCTAGTTGCAGCCCTCAAGGCCTGAGCCTGGGAGCGCGCGGCGACGCCCACGCAGACGCGCGCAACTCCTCCTGCTGCCCCCTCCTTCATCCGAATTGCCCCCCCACCTCTCTCCATCGTCGTCATTATCATTATTATCATATTGTTCGTCGTCCTCGTTCCTGCCGTTCCTCATCGCGTGCCTCCTGATGTTCCGCTTCGTCCTCGTTGTCGTTATCCCCCTCGTCCGCCTCCCCATTCTCGAACTCCTCCGTCCTCCTTGGATTTCCTCATTTGCGCAATTCATCCTCCTCCTCCTCCGCGCCCTCGGGATTCCGCCCATCCTTGAGCCCCGATCCTCATTCCTCAAATTTCCTTCATATTTGATTCGGTTCCTTCATCCTCTTCCTCTTCCCCCTCCTCGATACTCCCCCTCCTCCTCTCGACCTCCTCGGACAGCCTCGTCGTCGTCATCCTCGTCCCCGAAACTTCTCGTCGTAGTCGTCCTCCTCGTCCTCTTCCTCATCCTACTCTTCGCACCTTTTGCCCCTGCCTCTTCTTCTCCTCGAGACGCCAAAATATGCCTTCACAAGACTGCCAATATAGCCGAATATGGCCCGAATATGACGAAAGATGGCCCGAAGACGGTCCCAAAGAGCTTCAGATAGCCACCTCCGAGAGATCCCTCATCACATTTCCTCCCTCTCCTGATTTCCAAGTGCCCCCCGATGTGTTTCCAGAACGGCCGGAAGACCCACATGCCAATAGCTTGGCCAAGCTCTGCCCCAACGTTTGGTCACATAAGCGTTTTCACGTCGTCGTCGTGGTCTTCGTCGTCGTTGTCGCCCTCGTCGTCGCCGTCCTCCTCGTACTCCTCGTCGTCGTCGTCGTCGCTGTCGTCGGGGGGACGGGGGGTGGGGGGGACTTGAACACGTTTCTCCCATTCTCGCTGAAGCCCAGAACGCTCTCCAAGATGGCTCAACAGGGGAGACCTGACCACCTTTGTCCGCCCCGCGGCGAGGAGAACATGACCACGTTTTTCCAACCTCCAGCCAGGGCCGGAGCAACGAGGAAAGGGAGCCGGATAGCCTGGGAAGAGGAGGGGAGGTGGTCCGCACCGCGTTTTCTCTACCCCGGAGAAGAGACGGGGGAAAGCGACATGACCATTTTTCCCCCATTCTCGCTGATGCCCAAGACGATCTCCAAGATGGCTCAACAGGGGGAACTTGATTCCATTACCCCAACTCACGGCGAGGGGGAATTGACCACGTCTTTCCGATTCCAGCCAGGGCCGAAGCAGCGAGGAGAGGCAGTGGCCTAGTTCGGGAGGAGGGGCGGGGGGGAGAGCGTGGCCACGTTTAGGATTTGACCACGATTCTCCGATTCTCGCTGAAGCCCAAGATGGCTCCATTGGTGCATGGGGGAAATCCCGCAACGCATTGCGGCGCCTGTCTCAACAGTGGTCAGGCCAAGTAAGGAACCTTGCAACGCACTCGGGCGTCTCCGCCACAAGTACTCTCTACAAGAAATAGCCGCAACCATCAACGATGAGCCACCTTGGGAGCACGGTTGGCTCCGCACGAATGCTTAACGGGCCGCTCGCAAAGGTATACCTGTAAAAAAACAAGTGCGTCACCGAAACGGATGCCCCAGGAGCTGCGTTTGCCCCGCGCAAGGCGCCCTCCGATCGCGTAGACTCGAGTCAAACAGCGCGGCGCGTTTCCAAAGGCGTGCGAGATTGCATTCAGCGAAAGGGACTTGTGCCTCTATCTTCTCCTCCTCCTTCCTACCCCTCCCCCCCATCATCCTTATGGCCTTATCCCTGTTTCTCCTGTCAGCCCTTCACTTTCTCCAACAGCTCCGTCTGGCAGAGTCCAGGACGCACGGCCCGCGATCAGCGCTCGCTTGCGCTTGCATCAATTCCCCCCTCTCTCGGGAAACACCAGAGCAAAATAGCAGGGAGTTACATGTCGCTGAGGCTATCGCAGAACACCGTGACTCTCCCCTTTAAACGGATGCACAGGGAGGTTGCCCCGGGAGCAACGTTGGCTCCGCACGAGGTTCACCCTACTACATGAGTAGCAAGCGAGCATTCAAAAGGCATCAACTAGTGAGGATCTTCCTCAACATCGTCGTCGACCACAGCCGTCGACGTCCGCAGCGAACGATCGGCGTTGGCAAATGCTCGCTGTCCTGTGAACAGCACCTCAGTCAACCGGTCGGCGAAGAGACGCTGTCGTTCGGTACTCCCCCCCTTGCCGCGAATGGCAGACAGCGCGGCCACTGCGTTCGCAGCTTCAGCGCCATTTGCAATGCCCGCTGCTCTCGAATTCATCTGGATCCTGTACGCGTCCGCTTGCTGCACGTTCGCGACGTGCTCCGCCTTTCGGGACAAGAAATGTAAGGATCCCATGCTCCCCCCCCCCACCCGGCACTCTTCGGGCGAGCCATTGGAGGCCCGATTGCCTCGTAATACTAACATCAGCATCGGTGGTTTTTCAACCTGTTCCCCCATGGAACCTCCGAAGCCCTGGACGCGTCGCCCAAGAGGCCCAGACGTCGAACGAATTCTGGCTCTGCTTCAGCGGGAAGTTCGGAAACGCGAATCGTCGCCAAGCGTCTGCGGGCAAACCAGGATGGAGCGCCGCGCCTTGCATCACAAAAAAGGATTTCCAAGAAAAACCTGCGGAACCCCATCAAGCCCATTTTCCTGCACCGGCGACCCTCTTCCTTGTTCCTTGCCTCCTTGTTATTTGCATCACTGTGCGCCACAAACGCCAATAGTCACAGAGCGTCCCAAGCGCGTTCAATGCGAATGATGACGGGAATGAATAGAGGTGCCGATATTATGATGGCACCCGCATACGACGCGGGAGTGGGTGAGGAATGTGCATGTATGACCATGCGTGCGTGCGCGCACACACACGCACACGTGCGCGGTGCTTCTGCGCGTGCCGCGCGCCTAGTGAATATAGATGAGAGGATGGGGCGCGCCGACTGCGCGGGTCGAGCTGGAACAAAAAGTGATCCAAGAGAACGCAGGTGGTTCGGCCACATCAGAAGACCGAACTTGGCGCCCACGGCCGCAAAAAAAAACGCGACGAGGAAATGCGAGACGACCATGCAGCGAAGCATGCCCGCTAGATCGCCACAGTCTAAGGCCCCCACACATGCTCTGCGAGGTCACCCAACGTCTCGAACACACGGTCCTTTGCCGCGCTGCGTTTGGTGAGCGTGCTGCCCGGCTGGGTCTTCAATTTGAAGGTAGCGGCGATCGTCATGGCCATGCGAATCGAGTTACAGATGGCACTGTAAGAGAGTGCACGGGACATCTGGATAAGCTCTTCAATCTCTCGAGCCAGCGCGGCAAACCTAATATCGAATCACACGCTCTCATCGACCACTCGGGCCGGTGCCCGTCCCAGTTCTTCCCGCGTTTCACCGTTGACTCGGGCGTCTGCAGTTTAAAAGAACGGCGCCTGGGATTTGTGATTGTCATCGTCGTCGTCGTCCTTGTCCTCGTCCGTGTCTCTCGTCGTCGTCGTCATCTCGTCGTCGCCGTCGCCGTCGCCGTCGCCGTCGCCACCGCAATCGGCGTCGGCGTCGCTTGATGCGCCCACCGTCCCATTCGTCTTAGTGCCTCCTCGGCGCTCTCTCCTGGCCGTCTTGGCGCGGCGGATGCGTTTCGGCCAGGACGTGGGCGGCGGCGCCGGAAGGCGCCAACAAGTGTGCTCGCACTACCGCGACGTGACGACTGGCATAGGTCCGACTCAAATGACCAACTTCTGCGCCCAACTCCGATTGCAGCATTTCGACTTCCCCCCGGCGTCGCCCGGGATTTCAAAAACCTGCGGCGACAACCTGGCAACTTCAGCGACTGTGCAGAGCAAGCCGACGACACAGCGAGCTCACCCCAGGGGCACTGTTTACCCCGCGCGAGGCCCACCCGACCGCTCGTTGAGATCCGCCTAATCAAATATCTTCCAACTTAAAAATCAACGCATCGGGGGCGCCTCCCAAGACGCACGCATATTTAAACTGAACAACCATCTTGAGGCCAACGCGGCCAATATGATGCGCAGGGATATCATCCGGGGCCCGCCAAGGCGATCATTTCCAACGCCTGCCTGCGACTGCCGACTTTCTCCCTCCCCCCGGAAACCTCCGAGGAATAGCCGGCGCACGGCGACGCCATCGCGAACGATATAACTGTGCATAGCACACGGGGGAGTGGCCAGGACATCGAAAGAGCACCCTGGCCCTCGCACAGGGGCCACCCGACGGCGAGCACAAATTTCGGCCAGGAAGCACGGCAGGACGACGAGAGAACCGCGCGACTGCCACCTGCGAGCCCGACCTCCGCACCTCTGTCTCCGCTTTCATCAGTCATGCATTCCCTCTGTCTCCGTCGAGGTGTTCTGTCACTCTCGAGGCCCGCCTCGCAGCAACCACAACCTTACAAGCTCAATCCAAAACGCTTGCGATTGATGCAACATTGGCGCCTGAGCGGCCCGTAGTCTTGTAGCACTACTCTGCAACAATTGATAACGGGGAAGATGCTGACGCATCGAACGCGCACTGTAATCAGGAACGGCGGCACTGCACGCACTCCGGAGGCATTGTTGGCCCCGCGCGAAGCACGCGAGACTGTTCACAAACAATTGCACGTTCAGCAGCGACTGTCTCGACTACAAACGAGACGCCACCCTCTGAGTCCGCCCAGTCCCCTTGCCCTCTTCAACCTCGCCCCCCTCTCCGCGCCTCTCCTCGCCATCTGGCTCCTGCTTTTCCATATACTTTTGCTGTCGCTTCTTGTTCATTCTGATCCTCCCTTCCATATCCCTCCTCTACACCGTCAAGTTGTTCTCCCGAAGCGCGGTCTTGGAAGCGCGGCTTTTCCTGTATCGGCGGCGGCTCGAACCGTGCGCAAAGGGGCAATTGTCTCCATTGCGGCAGGTACCCCTGCGATCGTAAGAGCACCAGCGCACGCGAAAATGACGAACATGCGTTGGACGCCACACATACTTCTCTTCGTCGCTCGCAGCGTCTGGGAACAACATCTCGGGACCGTCGCCCTCGCGGGCCACCTGCCCGAAATGCAAAAAGCCCCGAACGGGTCGCGCAAGGAAACCGACCATTCGAAGCTTTCTGCAATCCAGGTCGAGATCATAACGGAACGGCGGAAATCGAAATGGGAAGGCAGGAGAAGAGCAGACGATTGAACACCCCAGTCTTTCGGAACTGCCCCAACTGGGAGGCGCGGGGAAGCGAAAAAAAAGATAAGAAGAAGGAGGGAAACGAAAATCGACTACTCACATCCCGGCGCTGAGCCCCCCCGCCCTCCCTCTTTGCTTGGCCGCGTTGAGGGAATCAACAAGCGAGCGCGCATAAGGGCGCAGGTGGACGAGAAAGGGGGAATGGCAGGACAGGAGGAGTCCATGACCGACAACTCCGCTCAGTGTTAAAATCGCCCGGGTGCCCCTGGCAGCCCGCTTATCCGAAAGCGGAATATGCTGATGGAGGGGAAGAGGAAAACAGGAGCTTGCAAAGGGGCGGCACTATGCAAGGCGGGCCACTGCGCAACCAGGGAACATGGTCGGAGGGGGGAGCGGCAAAACACAGGAGGAACCTGGGAGTACACATGGCGCGGGGAAGGAAATTGGGACAGCCTCGCCAAGCAACGTGCGCATCGCCCGGGCCACCACCTCTCTCTCGTACACGATGAGAACGCCCTGTGAGTCTGAGTGGGTGGCCGCGTTCATGAAGTGCGCCTGTTCAAACTTTGAGATATGCGGAGCGGGGAAAGCAACGCGGCAATCGATCTCCCCGCGAACGTGGATCATGAAAATGTTATGGCGGCTCGGCAGATCCAACGTTTCCTCATAAGCTGCCGGTCCTCCAATCACGAATATATCGGCCACATCCTCTCGCAGGGCCAGCTCGCTCACCGCGTTCGCGACCGACGCGGTGATCACCATATTCTCATGGTCATAGCGATGCATGGAGGCCTCGGGCATGCTGTGCGTCATCACAACGCCCACCCGTCCTAGCAGAGACCTACACGTCCTCGGAACGGACTCCCATGTACTCTGATCCATAATAACGGCGATCATAATACCTAGGAGCCAAAGATAAGTACGAATACCGTCCCAACATCTCCCTCGCTGACGTCACGCCAAAGACTTCGACACGGATCAAGCGGTGGCGGTGCGAACCTCGGTAAAGGCTGCTACTGGGTAACAACACACTCGTCATCTGGTTGGTGTGGCGTTCACCCGGTGCCACCCCTGCCAGTTTCCCCTGGCGAGGCTGCGGTGGCCCGCTCGAAATCCGCCATCGCCCCGGGCAGCTTCCACGGCAAGGCATCCCGATGCCATGCTCCAATTTGGTGAGTGCTCGCGATGATGGAAAACGGCCGCATGGGTGCGCCAGCAGAAACGTTTTGAAGCCACTATGGCTGGGAGTACCTCCCCATATGGAGGGGAGGGGAGGGGCGGGGAGGAAGAGAACGAGGAAGCTCGCCCACAGGGGGGACTGGACCACGGATTTCCCACTCCAACGCGAGATAGCTTCGGTTGCGGAATGACAGTCTCTTCTGTATGGTCTGGCTGATAAAAGAATAATCGATGCTGGATAGCCTCGCTGGCTTAGCAATACAATTATATGCCCATAGTTGTTGGCTGGTAAAGGAACCGCATTTCCTCTGTAGCTGCGCTAGAGGTGGAACAGCGCTGTTGTATTGAACTTTGTATGTATTGAACTGTATGTAGAGTGGGTGGAGCCTGCTTTGGGCGCATCTGCCGGGGACGTTTTCAAAATCTGCCTGGTTTGACTCTTGGTTTGGCTTGGTTTGGCACCTGGTTTTGCCTGGTTTGATGGCGCGCCCCGCCTTCGACATCCTCACAATCGGCCTGGTTTGGCTCCTGGTTTGGCTTGGTTTGGGCCGGTTTCCCCTGAAACGTCCTCGTAATTTGCCTAGTCCTTCCCCGCTCTCACTGCCCCGCCCTCCAGTCCCCCTCCTCCTCACACGAGCGCAACAGAACATGCGCGCGCATCGCAATACAATATCGAGAGCCGCAAAGTGAAGTACGGTACCGGGAAAAATTGCGAGCCAGTTGAGGTCAGCGGTCAGCGAAATTTGGAGAACGAGGCCCAACGCAAGCTCTCGTCATCGATCATTCTCAGCTCCGCACGTTCATCACACACCTCTGTCCAATGCTCATAGAAAGAACCTCACACGCGCCGTGCGCCACTGGGCCTGCGCACCGCCCGTTCGCGGCCTCTTGCCGAGCATGGCTCCAGATAGCTTCCCACAAACCTCAAGAGAGCTGGCAATCATTTCTGGGAAGGCGGGTGGAATTACGCGAAGCGTCAAGAATAACTATCATTAAGAAGACTGGATGGAGCCTGGTTGGAGCGATTATGCCCAGGACGTTCTCAAAATCTGCCTCAGCTCCGCACGTTCATCACACACCTCTGTCCAATGCTCATAGAAAGAACCTCACACGCGCCGTGCGCCACTGGGCCTGCGCACGGCGGGTTCGCGTCGTGTCGACCCCAGCGTAGGTTCCTGACACCGCGGAGATCGTTCAACCTCGGACGATCGGCCGTTTCCAAAGCGCCGGATCGTTCAACGTTGGGCCGCCGCTGGCGCTCAACCTTGAACGCCGGCGGCGGGGTCGCCGTTGGTCGACGCGACGAAAACCTAGCGTAGGAAAAATAGCGGCGGGACAGAGCGATGCCACAGACATGCTCTGCTGTGTAACCAAGCCTCCGAGGCCTCAAAACAGCTGCAAGAGGGCCCAAGAAGGCTCCAAAAGAGGCCCAAGAGAGCTCCAAGACGGCCCCAAGAGCGCCCAGGAGCGCTCCAAAACCGCCTCGAGAAGACCCAAAAGGCGATTCGAAGCATTCTCGAGGGGCAGCGGTAATCCCACCAGCCCTCTGGGCGGCGGTGGTTTAACGAGTTTCCTCTTCCACCCCTCCCTCTTCCCCTTCGGGGAGGGGTTTACCCCTCCCCCTACCCCCTCCCCACTGACCTGGACAGGGGGTTCCGCGGCGCGTTGGAGCGCCCAAGATCGACCCCTGGGAGGGCTAAAATTCGACACCCCTCACGAGGATCGCGGCTCCTAGGGGGGGGCTGTAATTAGGGGACCCCCCTTCGTTGATCGATCTCCTCCAAGATGGCTCCGAAGCCCCCCAAGAGGCCCCCAGGAGGCCCCCAAGAGACCCCCAAGAGGCCCCAAGAGACCCCCCAGAGGCACCCAAGAAGCGCCCATGAGGCCCCAAGAAGCGCCCAGGAGGCCCCCAAAGGCCCCAAGATGGCCCCAAGAGGCCCCAAGAGGCCCCCAGGAGGACCCAAAGAGGATC